GGATGGATGGAGGGGTGTCTGGGGAAGGCGGGATGGGTGGATGGGTGGAGGGGTGTCTGGGGAAGACGGGATGGGTGGATGGATGGAGGGGTGTCTGGGGAAGGCGGGATGGGTAGATGGCTACAGGGGTGTCTGGGGAAGGCAGGATGGATGAAGAGATGCACAGACAGATTCTCTTTGTTCTGGGCCTGAGCACGTGCCCCCCCGTTTCGGTCTCCGGACAGACTGAGGTCGCAGCTGCTCCTGGTTATTTTGCTGCCCACCCCTGGGTGCTGGCCAGGTCAGGCGCTAGCTGCCCCCTTGCGGGTCTCTTGCAGCTGTACAATGCGTTCCCGGCGCTCCTGGCCGCTCTCCCCGGGCGGCACAACGCCATGTTCCACAATGCGGACACCCTCAAACGCTTCGTGTCGGAGCGAGCGAAGCGGCACCGGGACTCCCTGGATCCCAGCTGTCCCGACAGCTACATCGACTGCTTCCTGCTCCAGATGGACCAGGTAATGGCGGCGACCGGGACAGCCCTGGGCGAGGGAGTTCAGTGCCCCCTCGCTCCCAGCTGCCCTGGGTGACCCCGGGGAAATCCCTCTATTCCTACGTCCCCTCCTACCCTGTGTCTGTTCTGATGGGCAGCTCTTTGGGGCAGGGACCGTCTCTGGGCCTGGGCAGCGCCCGGCGCAACGGGGCCCCGATCTCGGCCGGGATCTGGGCAGCGTCCGGCGCAATGGGGCCCTGATCTTGGCTGGGGTCTGGCCAGCGCCCGGCACGACGGGGCCCCGATTTCGGCTGGGGTCTGGGCAGCGCCCGGCGCGACGGGGCCCTGATCTTGGCTGGGGTCTGGCCAGCGCCCGGTGCGACGGGGCCCCGATTTCGGTTGGGGTCTGGGCAGCGTCCAGCGCAACGGGGCCCCGATTTTGGCTGGGGTCTGGGCGGCGCCCGGCGCGACGGGGCCCTGATCTTCACTTTGGGTGTGATGCTGTTTTGTATCGTAACCCTTGGTTCCTGTCACTCCCTCTTGCTTCTGATGGAGCCTCTGTTCTTCCTTAAATCAACCGTCTTGTGTTTTATTCTAAGTGCTCCCTGGGTGGCCTGTTATCGTGTTTTAAGGGGAAGCGGTGAACGGTTGCTGCTCTGGGGGCAGAGGGGCTGGGATTTCCGTGAGACGCCGGTGTCGGGGATTGAGGGATTGTTAATCTGCCGGGCAAAGGCAGGGCTGGCGCAGCCCAGAGGAGAGGGCTTGGACGATCCCCAGGCTGGTGCTGTTTGGGAGCTCACACCTAGCCGGCACTGCAAGGTCCCCGTTGCTCGAGGCTGGGAGGGGTCGCAGTCCTGGGTACCCCGAGAACTGTCTCAGTCTCTGTTTGGCCCTGTGCTCCTCGCCCGCCCCCCAGGAAAAGCAGAACCCCGACACCGAGTTCACCACCGAGAACTTGGTCATGACGACGCTGGAGTTGTTCTTCGCCGGGACGGAGACGGTCAGCACCACCCTGAGATACGGGATCCTGCTTCTCATGAAGTACCCCGAGATAAAAGGTAGGCCGGGGGGGGTGCTAAGGTGCTGGCCTGGGACTTGGGGGCCGTGGGTTGAAGTCTTGGCCTCACTCGGTGCCTCGGTTTCCCCATCTGTGACCCCTGTGCTGGGAAGAGGAAACCCACTGGTGTTTCTGAAAGGGCCCAGGTATGACAAGTATACGGGGCGTGGTCCCCAGCTGGTGGGATTTGGGACTCCCGCCGTGAAGAGGGGAAATGAGACTCTCCCGTTCGGAGAGCAGGAGGGGCACAAGCGGGGCAGACCTGGGGGTCGTGGTGAGCTGAGAAGAGCCTCCGGACACCGGGCAGGCTCTAGGGGGCCTGAAAAGAACTTAGCCATCAATAACAACGTCCTTCATTCGCAGGGCAGAGCCTGCGGGTACGTACCGGGGTGGGGCGGGGGAGAGCAGGAGGCAGCCTTAACAAACTTGAACAGGGTGTCAGGCCCATTTCAACGGGGTAAAAGGGCCAGGCTGTCTAGCGGCCCCACAGATTTCTGGCCCCATGGAGGCCAGTGGAGCAATGTCAGATTATACCCGCTGGGAACTTGTCCCAACGGTACCCATCCGAACCTGCAATGTTGCCTGGACAAATACAGTGCAGA